CCAGAGCATCTTATCGTGTCAGTCACGTTCTTGCGAAACACATGAAGTCTTTCAAAGACGGCGAAGTTGTGAAAGAAGCATTCCTGGAGGCTGCCGACACGCTTTTGGGGGACTGTAAAAATAAAAGTAGCATTTCAACAGGTTTTTGATATAATAAAAACTCAAGTTAGATACTGTTATTAATCAGCTGTAAGTTTTAGTTTGTTTGAACTTATTCATTATAATTATTGTAAAAAATGGTATAAGAATGCAAACTTAAATTGATTATAGTCTATTATCAATTCAGGTTAAGAAGCTAGTGTTGCTTGCATCCTATTTTAAAGGCATTTCTTACTAAAATGCAACAAAAAAAGGGTTTGATTCTATTAATTTATTATCTATTAATTTGTATTGCACTTTGGCAGCAGATTCCTGAGTAGCTTCAGATCTCAGTTGTCTTATTAGTAAGCCTAATTTATACTTTTGTAGCAACACTATTTTTATATAATGGCAAAGAAAGGGTTCAGAGTCTTTTCTTTTTGTCCTGTGTCATATGTGGCAGCACTGTTCAATGTTTCTTGAAAACATTACCCACTGTAGTGACGTGTGGATAAACTCCAACTCTGTATCAACAACACTGTTGTGTAACTTCAGTTAATACTTGTATGTGTGTAGATTAGAAAGAGGTAAGATAAAGGATCTGCAGTATTTTATGAAGTAATAATCGTACAAAGGTCAGTTTTATTCAAGTAGAAGTGTGTATTTACCTGGTAGTAGGCTGTCAGTAATTACGCCTCTCTATTTGGACTGGTAGATCTCGGCAGACTGGCAACTTTAAAAGTAGCTCTCGGTTCAAAAAAGGTTGGGCACCCCTGGTCTATACGATAGAGAACGTTAGCGGATTCAACTGATATCGTCTCCGTGCGGACGGGGCCTAAGTGTCTGCCATCACTCAAGCTGCAGCAGGGAAGAGCTAAACTCAGATTTGAGCTAATCTGATCAAGCTAACGAGCTCGGCCCACTGATACCTGTCGGACTGTGAAGTTATCAGACTAAATCCTCAATGATTTTTGGAGCGAGACACAGGCTGACCGCTCAGAGTCTCCTTGTGCGTTGTTAGTCCACTCGTTACACTTCATTGCATCAGATCCTGAATAGTCGAATCAAAAGCCTGATTTCACTTTCGAGAAGAAACAGTATTTTTCAGCTGCCTAGGATTTTGTATGATGCCTCCTGTGAAATATCAAAGCTAAAAATAAGCAGTTTTACCTATAAAAAACACTTTGATACTAAACAATTGTCTAAATGCGTCCACCATCATAGGCAGAAATAGCCTTGTAATTCCACCATAAGAACGACACGGTTGACTTATTAATGTGCTCAGTCTGAAGAGAGAAACCGCCCACATTATGATTCCAGCCCTCTCCTCATTTAGCATAATCCATAATGCATAAAGATATCATCTCCACCTGACCAAAAAAACTCACTCTAATGACTTACTATGTCTTGGAATGAAACTGATAGGACTCTGAAAATAGCCTGCCTGCGCTCTGAAATATTAAGCATGTGGGAGTGTGTGTGTGAGTGTGTGTGATCATTTCATTGCAGCCTAAGCATTGTTACTCTCCTGAACAACAAGCGCCGTTTGTTGTCTGCATTGACAGAAGCAGTAGTTAAAGGGCAGGGACTCCATTCAGGAAGCTCCCTGTTGACACTTTGTGTGTGTCCAAGCAGCCCTTTCAGTGTGTGTGTGTGCGTGGGTGTTGTCGTGTCGTCTCTGGTCAGCGACTGACGCTGGGTTTGATCCCGCAAGATTAATTGTTGGATTCCACATGTCACGGTGGGATTTACTGTTCAAGACGAGCAGGATGATGCAGACAACAAAGTGTGGGAATTCTGCGAGGGATTAAAAACATGCTAAAAGCAACATTTTTAGAATTCTATGAATACATTTATGCCCCTTTCACACCAGCGCTTTTTCAGCTCCGGCTCGGAGCTGGAGCTGAAAAGCGCCGTTTTTTCCTGTTCACACCGCAGCGGCGCCGGCTCTTAGCTCCGGAATCCGGTTCACTTCCAGCTCCAAAATATTGTCGGTCTGGAGGCAAGAGCTTCGGAGCTAAGAGGTGGCGTCGCTTACGTCTCTCTTACGTCGAGGCGTGCAGGAAACTAAACCCTCCTCCCCTGAACATGGGTCGACTGTCATGCCTGCCTACAAGCAGTAGTGCTTATAAACACACTTTATAAAGTCAGGCAACACTAACCAGGCTTCGTGTGATTCTGTTTTTTTGTACCTTACTTTGACCATCCGTTCACTGTTATTGATCATTGTGGAGAGAGGCAGACGTGTTGTTTTGTATTATAGCAGCTATCGGATGGAATCAATACATGGGCTGCACAGGTTGCCGTGTCCGACTATCACAAGTAGAATCATAATAAAAATACGCCGGTAAAATGTGCCTGTAGAAAACGGTTTATGCCACAATAGGATAGCAATAGCAAGTAGTCCGTTTAGCTTCGGTTGCTATGCTAACATCACCCATTTTATACCAGAGAAACTTTCATAACAGCGTTGTGATGCCAAACAGCGTCAATTCAGACTGACACACATTCACTTAGGCTAAGGGGAACTGGGGATATGTATCAGCTGCTTGTGTGAGTCGGACAGTGAATACTTTAGAGCGGCCGCAGCAGTGTGAGCTAACCGGGAGCTAACGGAGGAGAATAAACTCCCGTGGAAGAGCAGCCAACACTGCAGCGGTCGGTAAATGCTGCAGAAACACATTAATAAACTATGAACCACGGCACTCTGGAGAAAAGCATAAGGTTGGAGAAGTCGTTATTCAATTTAATCTGGCTTCGTGTGATTAAAAGCAACACGATCATCGACCCGCCGCAGTTCCCCGTTGTTGTTGTTGTTGTTGTTGTTGTTGTTGTTGTTGTTGTTGTTGTGAGCGCCGTAACGCCGTTGGGGAGCAAATCAGCGATGTGTAAACGGTGACGTCATGACGCAGCAGCGGCAGCACCAGTCGGGTGCTGGGCGGTGTGAACAGAGCGGGAGCAGAAAAGGGAAACCGGAGCTGAACCAGAAAAGCTCTAGCTCGGAGCTAGAAAGGGAAAAGCGCTGGTGTGAAAGCCGCATGAGTCAGTAAGGAAGACGATAGTGATTGTTTTTATCGATTGTTTAAATGATCAAGAGACAGCAGAAGATTAGGATGAGGTAGATAAATATCGGTTGTAACATAAATCCTAATCTTGGATCTAAGAACAGGACCTTGGAATTTTTTTAAGTAAATTTAACACCTATCTTTTTACAACTTGTTTCATTATGTTTCTTACTTATTGTTATTGATTTTATATATCTTATCTAGCTCAATTAAGCAGTTTGGGCTGCATCTTGCATGAAAGGTGCTATAAGTAAAAGTTATTATTATAAATGATTGTTCATGCGGATCAGTTGGAGTCAAGCAAAGAAAATAAAGGTTAAATGACTTATTAAAGCCGACTAATTCATGCCGGCCGTGCAGGAGGTCAGAGAGTCAGAGTGCTTCATGTGTTGTTCAGGAAGGTGACCTTTTCTCCAACAGGAAGTGGAGGTCCCTCCGGCCTCCAGGCACCCTGTGGCTCAGTGAAATGGGGGAATATCACAACCCTGAGGTCTCAACAACCAAAAAAATGATCTCCCAGGGACACCTGTGTATCTGACGTGTGTACACAGCCAGATTGTATGTCGAGTGCAAAGAAAAGCCCTCTCCTCCTCAAAGTTAATCAAAACTAGAAAGCTCCAGACTCATGAGGGGGATTTGTCGTTGATGTCATCACCACATGGCGAAGAGGCGACTCTTGTGCAAAACAACAGAGGAAATGTGCTTGCACTCAGCCACTGTAATCTGTGCAGCAGCTGTTGAGCTTTTGTTTTCAGGGACTTCAGGGACCATTTCCAGATGTGTATTTGGAAATGGACGTTTCTGACCATGTCAATATATGTTGACTGATAATTGTTGTTTCTTATCATAAAGCACTGTGCAGAGGAGCTGCTGTTCGTACTGTAGAGGCACAATCACTAAGCATTTTATTCTAAGAGGGACAAACATATTCATGTGTGTCCTATATGTTATTCTGGCTTTAAATGAGGTTCAAAAACAGCTAAGTGACTATTACATGCACAATAACTATTGTTTTATAACATCAGGGACAATGTTGGTAATAGATGTACACATATATTTTACCCTTGGACTGTCTTCTTTAAAGTCAATTAAGAAATGTGTCTTATGGGTATCATCAAGCACTGTGCAGAGGAGCTGATTTTTTACTATAGATGCACAACCATTTTGTTATTCTTAGACAAAATATTGATCTGTATCCTATGTTATTCAAGTTTTTTTCGACTTATAAATTAGTTTTAAAACACCTTCTGCAGCATGGATGAAGGGATTACTACATGCACAATAACATACTGCATGTCCTGTTCTTTTATAAAATCAGGGACCATGTTGGAAATACATTTTCACTACATGTTACCCTTGGATTTTCTTCTATAAAGTCAATCAGACAATGAATAAAATATGCAAGAAATGTGTGTTTTTCTTCATGCATCTTAGCCAAACTATGATGGTAGTATATCAGGAATGTAAGAGTGTTGGTGATGCATTCAGGGACAGTGCAAGGGGGGAAAGGATTAGAGTACCCGCCCCCTGTAATAAACCCAGATACTCCAATAAAAATATCATGTATTTGAGTCAAAAACAGATAAATAAAAAAATTATATTTAGTTTCGTATAAATCTCCTTACATTAGAGTTAGAGTGCACCCCCCACATGATTTATACATATATTGACAGGCTGGCAGGGGAATCAAGGTTTTCTGCTTCAGCTGAACAATGGAGGTTTTCCGTCGATACCCTCTGGCTGGAGCCCAGGACCCTCTCTGCACTGAGGGCTCACATCACATTTGGCACCGTAAATAATCCAAAACCCAGCCATGCATGGTGAAATTTAAATCGTGTGTGTGCAATTTCTCCTTACCTTTATCTTGACTTGAAGAGATGCTCTCCTCCTCTTTCGGATTTGCAACCTGTGTTATTATGGACGTGTTGTCCATGGAAACGAGATGTTTTGCACCTTTTGGCTACACCGTTTTATTCCTTGGCAAACATTACCAAGCGCACTACAGTCCCTTAGCTGTGCACGCGCTACAGAAGCGTCCTCTGTTAACATCCCATGTTAACTCGATGCATGCAGTCCCATTCACACGACCAATGTCAGAAAGAGGGGAGCGTCCGAACATGTGAGGTGACAGTCCCGATGTGCACAAACAAAGCGTCAGTAGTCCCGCATTGGAGATGTGTGTCCGCTGGTGCAGGCAGCATAGCACCGCCTGCTGCTGCTGCTACTGTAGCTCCTACACACACACACACACTCACTCACACACACGCACACACTCACACACACACAATATCAACTGCGTGATTCGGTTACAGTGTTTACCCAGAGATGGCGACCGTGCTCCTGCAGCCTCACAGCTCAGTACAACAACACGCCTTCAGTCCGCCCACCTCTCAGTGTGCTGGTGTTCCTGTAGTTTATAAAGCCTTTGTGCATAAAGGAAACTCATTTTATTCAGAATATGGAAGGTGCCAGATATAAAATGTCCAAATAAAATAATTATTTGGTACATTTTTACGAGGATTTCCCAAATCACTGAGGTCAAGAGTTCACCAAATCCACCCATCCTCCTTTAAAGTCACATGACTGTCTTCTGAACATCTCACTGTATGATATACTTTCAAAGCCAAAGATGCCAGGGTTATTGGTGATTAATATTTCCGCCATTAATCATTTCAAATGCAGAACAAAACATCCAAATGTGACAAAAAAAAAATGTAAAACAATTTAAGGGGCATGACCTTGGTGTCTTCAGGGCTGCAAAAAAAATATGAGTGAATTTCTACAGTTAGCATTCCATCATTTAGTAAATTACTTAGTTACCACATTTAAAATCTGTGCAGCAAAATACAATTTAAAAATGCTTAATACTACAATTCCCATGATGCATTTTTTCAGAGCCTTACTGGTAATTTACTACATTTTTAAGCTCCATAACGCATTTTCAATTCAAAATAAAACATTCCAATCATCGCTGAGTCAAGTCTGAGGAAATATTGATGACATCAGGGGTGACTCAGCGATGATTGGAATATTTTATTTTGAGTAATCTGACCCTTTAATTGATTGTCTACATCATGTAACCTGTTCGCCATCTCTTAAACGTATCTCCACCTGTTCACCGCAGAACGATCCCCTCCACTTTCTCTGATAAACAAACATTATTCAAGCTACTTCGGCTTCAGCGGACCGTAGAATAACAACAGGGCAGATAAAGTGGTTTTCTGGAGAGCTGCCAGCAGTGACGCTCCTGAGTGTTTCCTCCTCTTCACCTGACTCTTCACTTTAACGGACGACCCCACCTGAGAGTATAGTATGATGCACACAGACAGGAGGAAAACATCTCTAAGTGCAGGCTGTCATCTGTTGCCCAGAGTTAGTGTGTAATCTCCCAGACTACTCTCAATGTGGGTCAGTCTGATTTTTTTTTACGATAATGTATGCACACAACAAGTGACACCACAGCACAGGTCTCTGAGCCACAATCACAAGCACTTGTCCGCACTTGGCAGCGAGTCTCTGGTTACTGACTGTCACTTGAAATGTGATAACACAGAGCCTGAATGCAACACGGAGCAGTTACTTAACACTGGGGGGGTCTGTGATGTCGTTCAAACTGATTAAACAACTAATTTCTCAAAGGAACACAGTTGAGTTTGCCATGTTAATAAAACAAATAATTGCTCAAAGGAAGGATCATTAAGTGCATCATTGATAATTAGACTGTATATAGGTTAAATAAGTAAAAGTGCCCATTTTAGCATTTGCAGACCATTTACATGCACAAAAACCTATCGAACACACTACAGGAAAGGTAAAACCCCCAAAAGCATAGTAGGTCTAGCTTAAGGCTTTATTATTAGTTATTGAATTATTTATCTGTGCTTTGTATATCAGTAAACTCATGTTTGGGTTGCCAGATTGTAAAAAAATCCTTCTGAATTATGTCACGTCTTGCCATTTTAAATAAATGCAATAGTTAGATACCAAGTTTGGCATATCATCACTGAAGGTGATATGTCAGTTGTAATTACAGCTGTTTGTCTATACTCCCTCCCAAATGTAAAGCGACTTTGGGTTCAAGAAAAGCGCTATAGAAATAAAATGTATTATTATTAGCTTGTTTCTACTGCCCCCTAGTGGCCAAAAAAAACAATCACTGTGTTATTAAAGGTCCCATGACATGCTATTCCGGTTATTACCCTCAAAGTACACCCTGTAGCGAGTCAAACTGTACTCAGAAAATACCTGTCTATGCTGCCCCAAAACGCCTCGTTCGAGATTTCTCTTTGTCCATTTTGTTCTTCCTGCTCATAGTGACATAACGCTGTGGAGGCCACACACACACACACACACACACACACACACACACACACACACACACACACACACACACACACACACACGACACACACACACACACACACACACACACACACACACACACACACACAACACACACACACACACACACCACACACACACACACACACACACACACACACACACACACACACACACACACACACACACACACACACACACACACACACACACCTCACACACCACACACACACACACACACACACACCCCGACAGCACACCCACACACACACACACACACACACACACACACACACACACACACACCACACACACACACTACACACACACACACACACACAACACACACACACACACCACACACACACACACACACACACAACACACACACACACACACCACACACACACCACACACACCAACACACAACACACACACACACACAATCACACACACACACACACACACACACACACACCCACACACACCACACACACAAGCACTGTGAGTGTGCCGTGCTCAGGCTGAGCTCCGCGGTGTCTCACTGTCTCGCAGACCTCCACGCAGCAACCAGGAAACTATACCAGTAATCCAGCTCACACTGTCCGCTCCTCGAGCCTCAAAGGGCGGAGCAGCGAGCCCGTGGCGCTTCTAGACCAATTTGACTGGGGGGGCCACTGGGGGGCCAGTTATTTTCTGAGGGGGGCACAATAAATGCAGGACGAAAAAGAGAACTAGACAGTATGAAGTAATTGCGCATAAGAAAACAATGCAATACAGTTATTGGTATTTGTTTCAGTACACTTATTTATTTCAGATATATCTTATAGTTATTACTGTTAGCTTCAGCTTAAGTTATAGTACAATTTTTGCACTAACACCAGATCATATTTATATAAAAATAAAGGCAATGAACAGTTACATCTCTACTTTACATCTACAATTACACGGATACAATAGTTTAACTCACCTTCAATTATCGTGGTAGTCTCTCAAAACGTAGGTTTCAATCAGTCTTTCTTGGATGCAACAGCCTCTGATGATCCGAGATGAAAAGTGTTTGTTTTGTGCGCGCTTCAGCCGGACAGTGAAAGTGAGTGCACCGCTCTAATGGGTCCGACTAGAATGACGAATAACGTTAGTTCCGCCTATTCCATCATTCAATAAATCGTGTAATAAATCATGCATTTTTCATTTTTTTCACTTTTCATTTTTAGGGGGGCCACAGGGGGGTCAGAGGTCAGTGTTAGGGGGGTCAGAGGTCAGTGTTAGGGGGGTCAGAGGTCAGTGTTAGGGGGCACTGGCCCCCCTGGCCCCTCCTAGAACCGCCCCTGCCCTCAACGTCCCGCCAACACGGCACCCAGACCCCCCAGCATTCTCATCTGTTTGTCATTACTGGTGTCATTTTCTGTAAGCTAACAAACGCCATTGTAACACATCACTGATGTTCCGCTGTAACGGTGGTTGACTAATCAGAACACAGTTGGCTCACAGGGAGGGAGGGGGGGGGGGGGGGGGGCAGGAGCTCCAACAAGGCGTGTAGGACAGAGAGTGAATACACATACTATACAGAGATGCTGTATGAGAAACCAATGTGATTTTGCTTTCCACCCCCAGGGCCAAACTCCGGAGCTTTGGGGACAGAGCCTTCTCTGTGGCAGCCCCGAAGCTCTGGAACTCCCTCCCCCAAGACATCCGTGACTAGTCCCTCACCCTGTTCCAGTCCCGCCTCAAAACCATGCTCAAAACCCATCTCTTCAGCTCTGTCTATCCATAAGCCCCCCCCCCCCCCTCAATCAACTTCCTCTCATGCCTTTTCTGTTTATTTTTTGTTTGTTGTTTTTGTCTGTCCTTGTTTGTCTACCCTCCCTCACACTGTAAAGCGTCTGAGTCTGAGAAAAGCTGTAGGCTATACACATATAATTTATTATTATTTTGGAACATTGAACAATGTAAATCTATTCTAGCAGACCTCAACAATGGAATTATGATCAGTAGAAATGGCCATGTCATGGGACCTTTAAGATTTATTGCAAAGGGGTGAACACATGCCAAAGAATATTGACACAACCTAGCAACCCTAAAGTTGATCTAAACAGCACTGTTGAATAATTGTAAAGACTTTGAAAGCAGGATACATTACAAAGCACATTACATGTTCTGACTCATCCTATCAATAATAGATACAGTTGTAGATGTATAATCATTTAGTGCAGCATGAGCAGTTGTTTGTTTGTCATTTGGGTGCTGCTCGGTTCTTAAGGGCGTATTGGGGACAAACATAATGGCCCTTTGAAAAATCACAGCCTGAGGGCACAAACACTTCCTCAGCCTGTTGTTGGTGAAGGGAGTGGTGAGTGTCACAGTCAGAGATGAAGAAAAACCCACTCATAATGAACTAACACTATACCTCACTGGAGTAAATCACTTCTCTATCATTGACATCAAACACTGCTGGCCTCTGACATTTCTCTTTCCCCTGGAGCAGCGTATTTCTGTTGATGAATAATTAAAAAGAGTCTTGATTCTGACTGATAGGACACAGATGATATTTTTCGTGTACATCTGGAGTGCTGTCAGACTGCGGGGTGCTTGAATGTTTTGTGAACGTGGGTGTAGTTAGTTCAGTGAGAACTGAGAAAGCTGAAGCTGATTCAGAACGAGTCCTCACTAACATTAAGAGTGGATCACATCAGTCCGGCTCTGAAATCTTTACACTGGCTTCCAGTCGGCCAAATAATTGATTTTAAAGTTATATTGCTAGTTTTTAAATCACTAAATGGTTTAGGACCAAAGTAGGCTATATCAACGATCTCCTGCATAATTATGAACCATCAAGGTGTCTCAGGTCTTCTGGAACGGGTCTGCTCTCGGTTCCGAGAGTAAGAACAAAACATGGAAAAGCAGCGTTTAGATATTATGTCCCCACAATCTGGAACAAACTGCCTGAATCATGCACGTCCGCAGAAACTCTTATTTTCAAATCGAGACTGAAAACATATATTTTTGCCGCTGCTTTTAGTTGAACTGCTCATATTCAATTTCACACTGCAGTTTGCTTTTTATTCATGTATTGTATAACTGTTGTGTTTATCTAATTATCTTTGTCTTTTAAATGCCTGTTGTAAAATGCCATTATATAATGTGTTACTGTATTCTTAAATGTCTTTTATTTTATTTTTGAATTGTCGCGTGCTGAAAGGTGAAATGGTTTTAATTAAATTAGAAAATGTCACATGATTACCCAAGTTTGATCGGTTTCAAACACAAATTAAAAAGACAGAAACAAGAGATTATTAGAAAAGCTTGAAATATGCATAAAAGTGCTTACCTTTCTTCTTCTTCAGTGGTCAGAAAATATCAACAGACTCCAGATCTGTTGCAGATTAAAACCAATGTCCAACTTTCAAAAACTGTTCAAAAATAATTGAACAATAATGTCAAACAGCATCAATAAAACACAGTAATTGTGTCTGTAGGTTTTGCATTTGTAGAACTAGCACATTGCAAAAAATCATCAGTTTGCATTTGGCGCCCCCTTGTGGGTTAGAACTATAATTGCTATGAGCTATTTATCGGTAACTAAAAAAGGTAAATGTATTCTCTTACAGTTGCAGAAAATCAGATTACTCTAACATTTAAAAAAAATAGGGATTACAATGTAAGTAAATCTAAAAAGAGCATATTGTGTCTGAATTTTAAGCACCTTTACTATAGCATAAAGTGTTGGTGTGTATTTAAACATACAGCAGGGGCATCTGAGCTCAGGGCTGTTTGCTGTTGAAGCAGCACTTTAACACACCGTGAACGTGATTTTTCTGACGTATCGGAGTAAGAAGTGTCTCAGAAGACCTTGAGAAAAGCATCCATCATCAATCAAATGTCAGGAAACCTCTCCATCAACGAGGAGGTATTTAAAATGAAACAGTAAAGGTCATTGCTCTAAAATCAGGACGAGTTTTAATAAAAGGCTGGGAGGAGATTTGAGCCCCGGGGGGTACGTGGTGGAGCGTCTGGGATTTATGGAATCAACGACTGTCTTTACAAAGAGACCATCCTGGTAAAAAGAGCAGATCTCACAGGATGGCTAATTAGTGAGGATTTAACGATACCTGAGGGTTTACTCGAGGTTTCTGTTAAATCTTTACAAGACTCTGGAGGAAGGAGGAGGATCTGCACAGAAAGCTGCTTATCTATTATACCTCAGTGTTGGAGAAGATACGCAAGAGGAAGGTTTGTAAGAAGTTGAAAACAGAACAGCTGCTGCATCTTATGTGCAACTTTGGAAATGACTTTGAAATAATACCACGGATGTGTAATGGGAATAATTGAAGAGCAGAAGTAGAGAGGGGGCATGCGAAGCTCACGGAAAAGTGAAAGCAAGTCATAACTCCTGCAGATTGAAAACACAAGCAGCCATTGTTTCGCTATCATCGCTAAAAATCAACACTAGCCGCTTTCCTGCAAGATTCTCCAACAGAGCCATAAAAACACACGAAGAACTGGAAGGCTTTGATATTTTACACAGAACCAAGAAATAGCAGCTCAAAGTGACCCAGTGTGCGATATTAGATAGTATGCAAGCATTTAAGAAGTAAAGTAGGCATTAAGTGTAGCATTAACGCCTACTGTCCCCATGACGACCAACAATGACCCTCCTTTCAGTGTATATAACAGTCCCATCTTAAATACAGTGTGCTAGGGATCAGCTTAAAAAACTTGATACAAACATGACAGCTGTTATGCCCGTGTCCAGTAAGTGCTGGTTGTTTTTATTGAAATGTTTTAATATTTCAATCCAGTCTGCCTGGAACCTGGCAGACTGACGACAACAACCTGATTACATTTCCTCCTTTAAAAACACATCGACGTGCCGTACATGGATGAAATGTCGCTCGTCGGAGAAATCAGTCCTGTGCAAGCCTTCCACAACTGTTAGATATGATGAATACATGACAATTTAGTGATTGCAGTGGAGTGCACCTCTGTAAAAAATACAGCTGCAATATTCTTCCTGGTGATGCATATGCAACAAGTCCGTGGGGGGGGCGTTACTCTTCGACCGTGTCCTTCTTGCCGGTCTCCTGGCCTTCGAAGAGGGGGAACTTGCTCTCCACCTCGGCCCAGGTCAGTGATCCGTTGGCCAAGTCTCGAACGATGTCAGGCAACTCGCTGACCTGAGGAGAGGAAAACACGGTGAGGTGATGGGGTTAAGTGGAGGGAGTAATTACGGCTGAAAGGCGGCAGCGTTTAGGAAACTATTTGAAGGGATGTCGAGCAATAAATACACGAAAAAGGTCGACACTTTGGGCAACAAATGACCTTCATTTGACTCCGAGCTAGTGGCACAGAACAGCTCATCTACACATGATATGGAGCAGACGTTAGACACAACACTCTCCGGTCCTCAATCTACAAACTGAAGTCACATGCATAAAACTGGAAGAAACGTAAAACCCAAATAAGATGCTTCAGGTTTTGGTTTCGTGCACAACGCCAACGTGAGCATTGTTGTGGCTTGTGTACATTTAAAAGAAGAAACAGCCCCTCAGCTGAGAGGAAATGACTCCAAAGCGATGGATTTGTGTCAAAGCATCCACCTGTTTAATCCTACCCTCCCCCTTAATGCAGAGCGCCCTCTACATATGCAAATGAGTCTTCATTCAGAGTGACAAACCGTGGAGAAGTGCGACTAAGGATCCATTTCAGTGAGGTGCAGGAGGTAAAGTAGTGATTTAGCGCAGGAGGTAAAGTAGTGATTTAGCGCAGGAGGTAAAGTAGTGATTTAGTGCAGGAGGTAAAGTAGTGATTTAGTGCAGGAGGTAAAGTAGTGATTTAGTGCAGTACCTCGGCCCTGATCTGCCTCATGGAGTCTCGGTCTCTCAGCGTGGCGGTGTGAGGCGTCTTGTTCACCGTGTCGAAGTCGATGGTGATGCCGAACGCCACGCCGATCTCATCTGCCCGGGCGTAGCGTCTCCCGATGGATCCCGCAGAGTCGTCCACCTTGTAGGACACGTTGTTCTTCGTCATCGCCTCGGCTGAAAGAGGAGAAGGCAAGTTAACAAAACAGCAGCATGTTCTCCCTCCTCTGTGACAGGAATAGATCGTATACTGGAGGTTATCATTATGTGGGCACTTACATAACTGCTTCACGAAGGGCACAAATTCCTGGTTTTGACTCAGAGGCAGGACGGAGCATTTGTAAGGAGCTACAGTGACAGGGAAGCTGAAGTACTGCAGGGAAAAGAAAACAGGAATAGCATTAATGGAGGAAACACGCTCTTAAATGAATATCCTGTAATATTTCAGATCAGATATGTTTGATCCAGTTCATGAACTTACCGTTCTTTGATCATCACCTTTTCTGACCTGGAATGTGTGCTCAAAGATGGAGTACATGACCCTGCCGATACCGAAGGAGGGCTCGATTACATTGGGAACTATTTCCTCCACTGTGGACGACAAAGACACGCAGACAATGTTAAAGCAGTCGCTCCAAATATCCACACCTCAAACCACAACTTTCCAATTGAAAGACTACCTCACACAATCGTCGCACCGAGCAGGATATCTCCAAATATGGATCAATAAAATATATCTAAACTTAAACTATAGCTTCAAGGATAAGTCGATGATAATAAAAAGTTGTTATTTCTATTTTTAGACACTCGAATGTGGAGGTTTCTTGGGTTCTTTTTGTATTATTAAAGTGAATATCTTTGGCTTTTTGACAAACAAAAAAAAGACTTTGAATTTGAGAAACTGGGATGGATTTTAAAGACCAAATAATATATCAAGAACAATGATCAGCAGATGAATCAATAACTAAATGATCCATTAGTAGCAGCTCTACATAAAACTAAACATGAAATCCTCACCGTGCAGAGTCTTCTGGAACCGCTTCACGCTGACCATGTCCTTCGTGAGTTTGAAGGACTTGCCTTCTGACTCGATGGTGAACTCTCTGCAGAATAAAAGGAACAGCCTTGAGTGTGCTGCGAATATCAAACCAATCAACAACCAGCATCTGCGGCTAACGGGCCTCACCCAGCGTCAGTGAGCAGCTGCTCCTGCTCTGTGATGAAGCTCTCGTCACACCCGGACAGATACTCCATGGCGATCTTAGCGTCCTTCTTGTACACCTTCCCGATGGCTCCTTTGTTGGCCTCGAACTGGACCACGTTTACAATTTTGTGTGGAGGAGTTAAGGGCAATAAAATGCCTTAAAGGGGCCCTATCATGCTCATTTTCAGGTTGATATCAGCAAAAAGCATACAAGGGAGCCTTTAAGCTGTTTCTTTTGAGACTTGATGGAACAACGAGTTTAATGAAAAAGGATATGGGTTCTTTTAGAGGCTTCTCAGCGACCAACGGGACCTTTGTAGCTTTCGCATGGCATTGCAGATCAAAGCAGGAGCGGTCGGCACATCCCACGATCTCGATCCAGCCCTGCAACGAAAAGATATTCACTTAAAAGCACATGGACTCCCTGCTGAGCGACGAGGACGTAAGTGCGATAGTACGTACATAGGAGGTTTTGGTTTCAGCGTCCCAGCAGTCGCAGGCGTAGTGAGCCATCTCGTTGTCCATGTGCTGACGGAAGCGCAGCTTGTCTTTGGAGATACCAACTTTAGTGAGGTAGAGGTAGATCCTCCCGATGAAGTATCCCAGGACGGTGTTGTTGATCACTCCCTGAAAGAACACTTTATTGTCAATCTTCGTGTGTACAGAGAGATCGAAATACCGTTTCCCACAATCCCGAATATACAAATATATGTATAAAAATATGTGTGCAAATATGTATATACCTATATATACACATTTTTAACTAAATAAAAACACAACAATGAATATATACAAAATAACAGATAGATTGATTAGTGTGAATTCTGTGAAAGGAGATTATGCTCAATTGAAACTAACCTAACTCAAGGTGGACTATTGTTGGTAACATTCTTTGCTTGGTGATACAAGATGACATTTCTACTAGAATTTATTTGTAAAAAGCCGTGGTTCACCATGGTGCAAATTGCAATTTTCTTGTCACAAAAGAAGAATAACTTTAAAGTGTCTGAGCTTTTGTTACTGAAGCTGCCTAATACCGACACAAGCTTGGTTATAAAGCCACATTACACAAGATAATATTGACCACAGGTTTCATGTGTTAATTGAACCGAGTATATCTTTTTTTCAGATAACTTAATTGTCCATTAAATTAACATCAAATGGAAATGTGTCTTTGGCACCGGCAAGTTCACTCACCTTAAACAGCACAGTCTAAAAAGGGACTAATTAGCAGTCGTAATTAAAGTGCTTTGTTATTCCAGAGGTGTGTAGTCCAAAAAATATTTTCAATATCGCTTTTAAATTTGGGTTAACTTTGAATTCTCACCGGTATCATTGTCCATGTTTTACTGTATTTCTTTCTGTTTTGCTTTTATTTTAATTGTTTTATTTTTACCTATTTTAATTTCTTGCCAGCTTTAATTCAAGGGAATTTCATTAGGATCACTTTTGATGTTTTATCTTGTTCTGTAACGCACTTTGGGCTGCTTTGTGCATGAAAGGGGCTAAACAAATAAAGTGTATAATTATTTAAAGGTCTCCTATTATACTGTTTATCATCAATATATTACAGGTCTCAGATATATACAGAACCTGTCTCTGATTGGCTGAAACACCAATCAGATCATCGCAGCATTACCCATAATCCCCTCTGTTTCAGCCCTGTTTCAGCCCTGTTTCCAAAGTGCTGATTCTCTGTCTGTTACTTTAGATGAAAATAAGGAGCCCCTCCCCACGCCCCTCTGAGAGACATTTGGTTACAAATAACTCAATGGTGCTCTAGGAGGAGACTCAGGTGATAAGGGGGGGGGGGTTACCCTGGTTGCTGATTGGCTAATGGTTACACAAGCCAAAACATTGTTACGACATCACAAAGTGGCCAAAATCTTCACCATGGTGCAAATTGCAATTTACTTGTCACAAAAGAAGAATAACTTTAAAGTGTCTGAGCTTTTGTTACTGAAGCTGCCTAATACCGACACAAGCTTGGTTATAAAGCCACATTACACAAGATAATATTGAGCATGGCACACAGTATTATTAACAATACATACATTAATATCCAATCAAATCAGGTGATGTGTTGCAGAGTGACCTAAAAGGCTTATTTAGTGACTCCCACCTGCTCCACAGCGTCCCCCAGCCTCATGATCTTTGCAGACTGTCCGCTGGTCTGAGCCTTGGAGGAGTAGAGCGTGAGGTCCAGGTCGGCTACATTCGAGAATTTGGGGTGGATTTTCTCATTTGGATCCACAAAGTGCTCGATCTCAGCCATGGTGAACTCTCTGTGAGGAAACGTGGATTCAAGATTCAAGGCTTTTATTGTCATGTGTGCATAGCTACAGTGTAGTTACGACAATGAAAATCTTAGGCTCCTCCAACACAATAAAACAGATGATAGTGCAAGTAAATAGAGAATAGTCTAAATACAAGTAATTGGAATATTGATATATATAAGTTGCAAACAGATGAATGTTATGGATGTTCTTTCAAAAGTGCAGGTGTTTAACAATCCTATGGCCTGTGGAGTGATTATATGTAAGGGATAATGTGCAGCGACTTGGTCATTACGCTTTTTACACGGCCAGATACTAAACAAACTAACGACTCGACTCCCAATATTAATTGAAATGATTTAATTGACTTAAAAATGATCGTATTTCTTCCGCTAAAAAAAAAAAACTCCGTTCCGGCGCACCAACGGCTGGACAACTTTACGGCAGCACTGACCAACTCTGTTCACGGTTTCTGATCCACTAACAAGTCCTTAAACTCTGCAGAGCCCATACCGTGTTCCTGTTAGTGTTCACTTCCTCTCTGCCTTCTTCTGGGGATTTATCTGACGTCCAGCGCTCCGTCTTTTACTTTCTCTTTCTTGATCCTCCTTAGCAACGGCAGGAACTGCTTCGATAGCGTTTTGAGGAGCTTTTTGATTACAGATTTGAAAACATCGCTGCTTGCTTTAAAAGTAGCACAATTAATTATGTTAAACCTTGGAAAGTATCTAGATATCCCTGCCCTAATGCCAAAGTAACTGGCAACTGAATATGTGTCGCCGTTTGATGTCTATGTCTGGACCGCTGCGTAAAAAGGAGGGTTTCTGCCCCATTACTTCTCCGCTGTTTTCTTGTCCCAGTTTGAAAAGCAAACTGCACGCAGTTAAATCGACCGGACTTCTTTGTGCAGATGTGAGCGTCCTTAACAACGGTTAATGAGTCCTTGACAGCGGTCTGTACTACTGGATTAACAAGGTGTCACGTGTTCTGAATTGACCAATCAGAATCGAGTATTCAACTAAACCATGTAATAATCCTGTTTAACATCATGAGTCATTTGAATAGGGATCAAATCAAAAGGTGTTGGTGGATCTCTCACCTGACACGGATGAGTCCAGAGCGAGGAGAGATCTCGTTCCTGAAGGAGTTTCCTATTTGAGCAGCAGCGAAGGGAAGTTTTCCCTGGTTGAACTCCAGCAGACGCTTGAAGTTGAGGAAGATTCCCTGAGCGGTTTCAGGCCTCAGATAGCTGCGGAGTCACGTCAAATCAATCAGCACATAGTCAGCAAAGTGGTCCACATGTCTTAGGAACGATGCTCATCAAGACAAATACGGTGCGTTTCCAAAACATTGTATCCGCAACCGGGCTATGGAAGGCAGTTCAGCCCTGACAGCTGACTCTAGGGACCACAAGGCAGCCGTTTCTAACATTTCCTCAAATAAAAACAGAGAACAAAAGCAGTGTGGGGTTAAAACAGAGTTGTGTTTGATGATCAGGACACATTTCTGGATATCTATGATACAAATGCAGCACCAAAGACTGCATTCTCCGCTGTATTGTGTTTTATTTTTACCCCGTCATGTTCCCTCCTGGTCCGATGGACGTCTGGAACATCAGGTTGAAAAGGATGGGAGCCGTGAGGTCATTTCCTGTGATGGGAGACTTCACGTTGTATTTCACAAAGAACTCGGTGAGCTCCTGCTGGGTGTAGTTGTCCATCTGGAACAGAAATAGACGAAAAAGGGAATTATTAAAAACTGTCAGAAGCAGCTTTTCCACTAAAGAGCATTTTGTCTCGGTTACAACGGACCTGAGTGGTGACTTCCTCCATCTCAGCCTTCTTCGCTGCTGAGCACTTCTTATCGGACATCAGCTTCTGGAGGTGGGCTGTCGGACACACAGAGACATCAAATCAATACTCTTACAAACGTGGGACAATGCTAAACAGACTATACAAATCAAATGGAAGAAATTAATCTTGAGAAGTGTGAGAATGGTCTCGAAACTAATCTGCATTGTGAAAAGATATCGCTTTAATTGGCATGACAATATCCAAACATAGTATTGCCAAAGCATGTTGTACAAGGTGTTACAACAACATAACAATAAATAAGCACACTTTCCATATCTCAGATAATAAATAACATACTTTCATTAAATAACATTTTCATGAATTATGTCATTCCTTTTTTGTCATCGGAGCCAATTAGCCTTCAAGGAAATGACACGTTCTTCCTGAATCTCACATTATGTCTGCTGGCTCGTTGGCACAGCTCCAGTCTCTGTGGTCCCAGCTCATACTGCTATGAAAGCCGTGTGATTTCTGCTGTTCCAGCCACTTCCATTCTCCCTCAGGCACCACAGTGATACTCAGAGCTTTCCCAACCAGCAGCAGCCACTGACAACACAAGCTTGGATCGCGTCCATCCCCCCTCACTCGGCACAAGCCATGAATAATCCACATGAAAAACCTACAAAGACCCCTGCTGTGTTAGGATGACTAATCTTTAGTTTAGTGTAAATCACTAAATACAAGAGGTGGGGACTCGAGTCATATGACTTGACTCGAGTCACATGACTTGACTCGCATATTTTTTTACTTGAGACTTGCTTGACTAACATTGATAAAAGACTTGACTTGGACTTGGTATTCATGACTTGAGACTTGACTTAAGCTTGAGATAGATGACTTGAAAGGACTTGAGTGTTTAAAATTAAATATTTGCGTTTGTTTTTGTAGTGAAATATTAGGTTTAGTTTTTTCGAAAAACGTGATTATAGCGCCATGCGCGCAAACCTGGCAACCCACTAGACGGCAGGAGTGTCAGTTAACATGGCAGCGGCTAGCTTTACTCCACAAATAGTGAAGTTTGGATTCAAGGATTATCTTTTCGATGACGGTAATAAGAAGAGAACAGCGGTATGCAGGGTCTGCAGCATAAAGATTAGTGACACGACCACCACAACATCCAACTTAATTCGTCACTACAAACAAAAACACAGAGAAAGGTGCGTGCATGTGTTGTTAGCTAGAATGCTAACGTTACGTTTAAGCTACGTTAGACTTGGTTTCAAATCGATTAAGCAAAGAGAAGACAAAACGGTAAATGAACACTAGAAGGGATTCATTTTGACTAACCCTGATACTGAATAATGTAGTTCATCTACTTTTAGTAGTTTGTTGAAATGTTTTAATGATGTTGTTTTTGTTTGTAGAAGTGCATCATTCCTTGATTTATTGTAAAATGAATCTGAACTTTTTTATCTGTTATGATGATAAACTGAAGCAATTTCTAAATTAACCCAATTAAGTGAGTTTTAAATCGTCCTGTTTGTTTGTAGCCTTTATTTAACCAGGTGAAAGCCCCTTGAGATCTCTTTTTCAAGGGTGACCTGCAGGATATTAGTTTATAAGAAAATTATGAAGAGGAACAAATTAAATGATTTGAAAATGATATCTATGTAGGTGCTGACGATGTTGGCGGTTCTAGTGTTAACAGAAATTTAAATTAAATATGTGTAATGACAAAAGCCATATACGATTTTCTTACCTGGAATTCTGCCTTTTTGAACAGACTTTTTTTATTGAGTCCTAGCTTATTGTCTGCAGTTCTGGGGTTAATATGAATCTAATATGATTGTCATCGGTCTAAATTAGATTTCAAATGATTAACTGTATGTAATGAAGATCATAGTGTGGGTTAAATCCATTTTCATAACCACTGTCTTTTAACTGATTTAAATGCAGAAACTGGGATTATTCATCAGAGTATCGTATGACTTGACCTGTGCAATGACTTGACCTGAGCAATGACTTGACCTGAGCAATGACTTGACCTGAGCAATGACTTGACTTGACCTGAGCAATGACTTGACTTGACCTGAGCAATGACTTGACTTGACCTGAGCAATGACTTGACCTGTGCAATGACTTGACTTGCTTGACCTGAGCAATGACTTGACCTGAGCAATGACTTGACTTGCTTGACCTGAGCAATGACTTGACTTGACCTGAGCAATGACTTGACTTGCTTGACCTGAGCAATGACTTGACTTGCTTGACTCTCACCACAGTGACTTGGGACTTGCTTGATACTTGTAGGTCAAGACTTGAGACTTGCACATAGGACTTACTCCCACCTCTGCTAAATACACACAGGATGTACAAAAGGCTTACCTTTGAGGAGGTGGTCGGCCCTGAAGCACTCGCCATTCTTCACGTCTTTCACCATGTAGTCAGCAAATTTGTCCACATGTCCTGATGTCCTAGAATTATGAGAAGAAATATTACATTATAGTGTTTATAAGGACATATTCTGCTGATGTTCAGGTGTATATCAGTATGTAGTGTCTCTACTTTAAAGAGTCCTCTCCTGCTGATGTTCAGGTGTATATCAGTATGTAGTGTCTCTACTTTAAAGAGTCCTCTCCTGCTGATGTTCAGGTGTATATCAGTATGTAGTGTCTCTACTTTAAAGAGTCCTCTCCTGCTGATGTTCAGGTGTATATCAGTATGTAGTGTCTCTACTTTAAAGAGTCCTCTCCTGCTGATGTTCAGGTGTATATCATTATGTAGTGTCTCTACTTTAAAGAGTCCTCTCCTGCTGATGTTCAGGTGTATATCAGTATGTAGTGTCTCTACTTTAAAGAGTCCTCTCCTGCTGATGTTCAGGTGTATATCAGTATGTAGTGTCTCTACTTTAAAGAGTCCTCTCCTGCTGATGTTCAGGTGTATATCAGTATGTAGTGTCTCTACTTTAAGAGTCCTCTCCTGCTGATGTTCAGGTGTATATCAGTATGTAGTGTCTCTACTTTAAAGAGTCCTCTCCTGCTGATGTTCAGGTGTATATCAGTATGTAATGTCTCTACTTTAAAGAGTCCTCTCCTGCTGATGTTCAGGTGTATATCAGTATGTAGTGTCTCTACTTTAAAGAGTCCTCTCCTGCTGATGTTCAGGTGTATATCAGTATGTAGTGTCTCTACTTTAAAGAGTCCTCTCCTGCTGATGTTCAGGTGTATATCAGTATGTAGTGTCTCTACTTTAAAGAGTCCTCTCCTGCTGATGTTCAGGTGTATATCAGTATGTAGTGTCTCTACTTTAAAGAGTCCTCTCCTGCTGATGTTCAGGTGTATATCAGTATGTAGTGTCTCTACTTTAAAGAGTCCTCTCCTGCTGATGTTCAGGGTGTATATCAGTATGTCGTGTCTCTACTTTAAAGAGTCCTCTCCTGCTGATGTTCAGGTGTATATCAGTATGTAGTGTCTCTACTTTAAAGAGTCCTCTCCTGCTGATGTTCAGGTGTATATCAGTATGTAGTGTCTCTACTTTAAAGAGTCCTCTCCTGCTGGATGTTCAGGTGTATATCAGTATGTAGTGTCTCTACTTTAAAGAGTCCTCTCCTGCTGATGTTCAGGTGTATATCAGTATGTAGTGTATCTACTTTAAAGAGTCCTCTCCTGCTGATGTTCAGGTGTATATCAGTATGTAGTGTCTCTACTTTAAAGAGTCCTCTCCTGCTGATGTTCAGGTGTATATCAGTATGTAGTGTATCTACTTTAAAGAGTCCTCTCCTGCTGATGTTCAGGTGTATATCAGTATGTAGTGTCTCTACTTTAAAGAGTCCTCTCCTGCTGATGTTCAGGTGTATATCAGTAAGTAGTGTCTCTACTTTAAAGAGTCCTCTCTTGCTGATGTTCAGGTGTATATCAGTATGTAGCATCTCTACTTTAAAGAGTCCTCTCCTGCTGATGTCCAGGTGTATATCAGTATGTAGTGTCTCTACTTTAAAGAGTCCTCTCCTGCTGATGTTCAGATGTATATCAGTATGTAGTGTCTCTACTTTAAAGAGTCCTCTCCTGCTGATGTTCAGGTGTATATCAGTATGTAGTGTCTCTACTTTAAAGAGTCCTCTCCTGCTGATGTTCAGGTGTATATCAGTATGTAGTGTCTCTACTTTAAAGAGTCCTCTCCTGCTGATGTTCAGGTGTATATCAGTATGTAGTGTCTCTACTTTAAGAGTCCTCTCCTGCTGATGTTCAGGTGTATATCAGTATGTAGTGTCTCTACTTTAAAGAGTCCTCTCCTGCTGATGTTCAGGTGTATATCATTATGTAGTGTCTCTACTTTAAAGAGTCCTCTCCTGCTGATGTTCAGGTGTATATCAGTATATAGCGTCTCTACTTTAAAGAGTCCTCTCCTGCTGATGTTCAGGTGTATATCAGTATGTAGTGTCTCTACTTTAAAGAGTCCTCTCCTGCTGATGTTCAGGTGTATATCAGTATGTAGTGTCTCTACTTTAAAGAGTCCTCTCCTGCTGATGTTCAGGTGTATATCAGTATGTAGTGTCTCTACTTTAAAGAGTCCTCTCCTGCTGATGTTGAGGTGTATATCATTATGTAGTGTCTCTACTTTAAAGAGTCCTCTCCTGCTGATGTTCAGGTGTATATCAGTATGTAGTGTCTCTACTTTAAAGAGTCCTCTCCTGATGATGTTCAGGTGTATATCAGTATGTAGTGTCTCTACTTTAAAGAGTCCTCTCCTGCTGATGTTCAGGTGTATATCAGTATGTAGTGTCTCTACTTTAAAGAGTCCTCTCCTGCTGATGTTCAGGTCTATATCAGTATGTAGTGTCTCTACTTTAAAGAGTTCTCTCCTGCTGATGTTCAGGTGTATATCAGTATGTAGTGTCTCTACTTTAAAGAGTCCTCTCCTGCTGATGTTCAGGTGTATATCAGTATGTAGTGTCTCTACTTTAAAGAGTCCTCTCCTGCTGATGTTCAGGTGTATATCAGTATGTAGTGTCTCTACTTTAAAGAGTCCTCTCCTGCTGATGTTCAGGTGTATATCAGTATGTAGTGTCTCTACTTTAAAGAGTCCTCTCCTGCTGATGTTCAGGTGTATATCAGTATGTAGTGTCTCTACTTTAAAGAGTCCTCTCCTGCTGATGTTCAGGTGTATATCAGTATGTCGTGTCTCTACTTTAAAGAGTCCTCTCCTGCTGATGTTCAGGTGTATATCAGTATGTAGTGTCTCTACTTTAAAGAGTCCTCTCCTGCTGATGTTCAGGTGTATATCAGTATGTAGTGTCTCTACTTTAAAGAGTCCTCTCCTGCTGATGTTCAGGTGTATATCAGTATGTAGTGTCTCTACTTTAAAGAGTCCTCTCCTGCTGATGTTCAGGTGTATATCAGTATGTAGTGTATCTACTTTAAAGAGTCCTCTCCTGCTGATGTTCAGGTGTATATCAGTATGTAGTGTCTCTACTTTAAAGAGTCCTCTCCTGCTGATGTTCAGGTGTATATCAGTATGTAGTGTATCTACTTTAAAGAGTCCTCTCCTGCTGATGTTCAGGTGTATATCAGTATGTAGTGTCTCTACTTTAAAGAGTCCTCTCCTGCTGATGTTCAGGTGTATATCAGTAAGTAGTGTCTCTACTTTAAAGAGTCCTCTCTTGCTGATGTTCAGGTGTATATCAGTATGTAGCATCTCTACTTTAAAGAGTCCTCTCCTGCTGATGTCCAGGTGTATATCAGTATGTAGTGTCTCTACTTTAAAGAGTCCTCTCCTGCTGATGTTCAGATGTATATCAGTATGTAGTGTCTCTACTTTAAAGAGTCCTCTCCTGCTGATGTTCAGGTGTATATCAGTATGTAGTGTCTCTACTTTAAAGAGTCCTCTCCTGCTGATGTTCAGGTGTATATCAGTATGTAGTGTCTCTACTTTAAAGAGTCCTCTCCTGCTGATGTTCAGGTGTATATCAGTATGTAGTGTCTCTACTTTAAAGAGTCCTCTCCTGCTGATGTTCAGGTGTATATCAGTATGTAGTGTCTCTACTTTAAAGAGTCCTCTCCTGCTGATGTTCAGGTGTATATCATTATGTAGTGTCTCTACTTTAAAGAGTCCTCTCCTGCTGATGTTCAGGTGTATATCAGTATATAGCGTCTCTACTTTAAAGAGTCCTCTCCTGCTGATGTTCAGGTGTATATCAGTATGTAGTGTCTCTACTTTAAAGAGTCCTCTCCTGCTGATGTTCAGGTGTATATCAGTATGTAGTGTCTCTACTTTAAAGAGTCCTCTCCTGCTGATGTTCAGGTGTATATCAGTATGTAGTGTCTCTACTTTAAAGAGTCCTCTCCTGCTGATGTTGAGGTGTATATCATTATGTAGTGTCTCTACTTTAAAGAGTCCTCTCCTGCTGATGTTCAGGTGTATATCAGTATGTAGTGTCTCTACTTTAAAGAGTCCTCTCCTGATGATGTTCAGGTGTATATCAGTATGTAGTGTCTCTACTTTAAAGAGTCCTCTCCTGCTGATGTTCAGGTGTATATCAGTATGTAGTGTCTCTACTTTAAAGAGTCCTCTCCTGCTGATGTTCAGGTCTATATCAGTATGTAGTGTCTCTACTTTAAAGAGTTCTCTCCTGCTGATGTTCAGGTGTATATCAGTATGTAGTGTCTCTACTTTAAAGAGTCCTCTCCTGCTGATGTTCAGGTGTATATCAGTATGTAGTGTCTCTACTTTAAAGAGTCCTCTCCTGCTGATGTTCAGGTGTATATCAGTATGTAGTGTCTCTACTTTAAAGAGTCCTCTCCTGCTGATGTTCAGGTGTATATCAGTATGTAGTGTCTCTACTTTAAAGAGTCCTCTCCTGCTGATGTTCAGGTGTATATCAGTATGTAGTGTCTCTACTTTAAAGAGTCCTCTCCTGCTGATGTTCAGGTGTATATCAGTATGTAGTGTCTCTACTTTAAAGAGTCCTCTCCTGCTGATGTTCAGGTGTATATCATTATGTAGTGTCTCTACTTTAAAGAGTCCTCTCCTGCTGATGTTCAGGTGTATATCAGTATGTAGTGTCTCTACTTTAAAGAGTCCTCTCCTGATGATGTTCAGGTGTATATCAGTATGTAGTGTCTCTACTTTAAAGAGTCCTCTCCTGCTGATGTTCAGGTGTATATCAGTATGTAGTGTCTCTACTTTAAAGAGTCCTCTCCTGCTGATGTTCAGGTGTATATCAGTATGTAGTGTCTCTACTTTAAAGAGTCCTCTCTTGCTGATGTTCAGGTGTATATCAGTATGTAGTGTCTCTACTTTAAAGAGTCCTCTCCTGCTGATGTTCAGGTGTATATCAGTATGTAGTGTCTCTACTTTAAAGAGTCCTCTCCTGCTGATGTTCAGGTGTATATCAGTATGTAGTGTCTCTACTTTAAAGAGTCCTCTCCTGCTGATGTTCAGGTGTATATCAGTATGTAGTGTCTCTACTTTAAAGAGTCCTCTCCTGCTGATGTTCAGGTGTATATCAGTATGTAGTGTCTCTACTTTAAAGAGTCCTCTCCTGCTGATGTTCAGGTGTATATCATTATGTAGTGTCTCTACTTTAAAGAGTCCTCTCCTGCTGATGTTCAGGTGTATATCAGTATGTAGTGTCTCTACTTTAAAGAGTCCTCTCCTGCTGATGTTCAGGTGTATATCAGTATGTAGTGTCTCTACTTTAAAGAGTCCTCTCCTGCTGATGTTCAGGTGTATATCAGTATGTAGTGTCTCTACTTTAAAGAGTCCTCTCCTGCTGATGTTCAGGTGTATATCATTATGTAGTGTCTCTACTTTAAAGAGTCCTCTCCTGCTGATGTTCAGGTGTATATCAGTATGTAGTGTCTCTACTTTAAAGAGTCCTCTCCTGCTGATGTTCAGGTGTATATCAGTATGTAGTGTCTCTACTTTAAAGAGTCCTCTCCTGCTGATGTTCAGGTGTATATCAGTATGTAGTGTCTCTACTTTAAAGAGTCCTCTCCTGCTGATGTTCAGGTGTATATCAGTATGTAGTGTCTCTACTTTAAAGAGTCCTCTCCTGCTGATGTTCAGGTGTATATCAGTATGTAGTGTCTCTACTTTAAAGAGTCCTCTCTTGCTGATGTTCAGGTGTATATCAGTATGTAGTGTCTCTACTTTAAAGAGTCCTCTCCTGCTGATGTTCAGGTGTATATCAGTATGTAGTGTCTCTACTTTAAAGAGTCCTCTCCTGCTGATGTTCAGGTGTATATCAGTATGTAGTGTCTCTACTTTAAAGAGTCCTCTCCTGCTGATGTTCAGGTGTATATCAGTATGTAGTGTCTCTACTTTAAAGAGTCCTCTCCTGCTGATGTCCAGGTGTATATCAGTATGTAGTGTCTCTACTTTAAAGAGTCCTCTCCTGCTGATGTTCAGGTGTATATCAGTATGTAGTGTCTCTACTTTAAAGAGTCCTCTCCTGCTGATGTTCAGGTGTATATCAGTATGTAGTGTCTCTGCTTTAAAGAGTCCTCTCCTGCTGATGTTCAGGTGTATATCAGTATGTAGTGTCTCTACTTTAAAGAGTCCTCTCCTGCTGATGTTCAGGTGTATATCAGTATGTAGTGTCTCTACTTTAAAGAGTCCTCTCCTGCTGATGTTCAGGTGTATATCAGTATGTAGTGTCTCTGCTTTAAAGAGTCCTCTCCTGCTGATGTTCAGGTGTATATCAGTATGTAGTGTCTCTACTTTAAAGAGTCCTCTCCTGCTGATGTTCAGGTGTATATCAGTACGTAGTGTCTCTACATGTCTCCATGCTTTAATGTTCAAAAAGCTCTTTATTTTTCTCATACTGCCTGTGCTGCAGCACCTCTTTTCACCCTCTGTCTGAAACCTAGTGCTGTAGCGACGCGTCGACTTCAAAATATCGTCGACGACATATTTCCGCGTCGACGCGTCGCTACACACACGTGGGTCACCCAAAGCAACAAGCAGTTCGCAATCGCACTTCAAACACAATGGAGACTGAAACGGCTACCACCTCCTCCTCACAGGATTGCGCACGAAGCCCTCAAACGAAAACATCTCGCCCTAGGTCTTCAAAAGCATGGGAATATTTTAAAGTTAGTCCAAAACGCAAAGATATTTATATATTTATATCTCACTGAGACTGCTGCATAGCCTAGCAGAAGCAGCAGCTAGCTGTGGTGGCTACCATTAGCAGCTAGCATTTGCTCTCCGATTTTTACATAAAAATGGAATTATGGATTATAAATTCAATCATTTTTTTATACATAGACGTTAAAAACCTATGGATTAACCGATTCAGCCGCGTTTTTTCTCATTTTAATGCCATTGAACACGTCTTTTGATCAGATTGACAGCTACGGCGGTGAGACGATCTCCCTAGAAGCTCTGTGACGGTACGTGTTGTGATGACTGTATTTGCTTCCCCTGTCGCGAGTCCGGATCACTCAGTGATGATACTATATACCTAAATAATCTGTGGAACCTCAGCTTTAATCGGATATATTGTATGTGCAGCTACGATAAGTAATAAGAGTACTTTTATCTTGAGATCTGTGCCAATGTCCGTTAGCATTTTTCGCTCAGGGGTCATTTAGATGCTTCTTATGAGACTTGTGTTTTGTTTTGGTAAACATGGTTTGTATCGGCAGCTAGCTGAGATTATTTCCGTTAATCTGGTATTAAATATTAAGATCCCCTGAATTGAACAACAGAAAAATAATCGTTAGATTAGTCGACTAATCGATCAAATAATCGCCCGATTAATCGTTTTCAAAATAATCGTTTCCCCCCAGCACTACTGAAACCAGAGCCAAGTCTGCTCTGATTGGTTAGCTGGCTGGCTCTCTTGTGATTGGTCAACCACTTGGAGGTGTTCCGACTGCCTTAGCCTATCACGTACAATGTGTTGGAGCGCTAGCCAATAGGAGCGCGAGTGTAACTTAGTTTTGTCACTATGTTACAGATGTAAACAAAGAAGTCCAATGGAACCGGAGAAACTGGGGATGTCAGCCTTTGCAGACAATTTACATGCACAAAAACCTTAATAACACACTACTGTAAAGGGAAACCCCAAAAAGTATAATAAGGCTTCTTTAATACTAAAATTAATGATTAATTTAATCAAATAATTGTTTCTGCAACCGGGCTAAAAAGCTATATTGGCAGCTTCCATGCATCAAATCGCAGGATCATTGTGCGCCTGTTTACAAAAACCCACAGTTCAGCGGTTTGGAGCGGACTCTAGGAACCACAAGGCAGCATTACCCTCATTAATTATACATTAGAAATAACAAATGAGTGTTTAAAACCCATAGAAGCCATGATCTGATGGGTGAAACACCTACTTGAGGACGGGCTCGGGGGTGAGCATGGTGCAGTCGATCTCCAGGATCTGCTCCTCCTGGATGAAGTGCTGCCTCCACACCTGCAGGATGTTGTTCTTCAGGGCGCAGCCGACAGGGCCGAAGTCATACAGGCCGCTCACACCTGAGGGGCAATACTGCATGGTAACAGAGGGCTTAAAGACTCTTTGTACGGTGATTTACCTGCTCATCTAACCCTTTGTTTTATTAAAGGTCACCTATTATGCAAAATACACTTCTTCATGTCTCTTCTACATCAACATGTGTCCCCTCTTCTTCATGTCTCTTCTACATCAACATGTGTCCCCTCTTCTCCATGTCTCTTCTACATCAACATGTGTCCCCTCTTCCTCATGTCTCTTCTACATCAACATGTGTCCCCTCTTCTTCATGTCTCTTCTACATCAACATGTGTCCCCTCTTCTTCATGTCTCTTCTACATCAACATGTGTCCCCTCTTCTTCATGTCTCTTCTACATCAACATGTGTCCCCTCTTCTCCATGTCTCTTCTACATCAACATGTGTCCCCTCTTCTTCATGTCTCTTCTACATCAACATGTGTCCCCTCTTCTTCATGTCTCTTCTACATCAACATGTGTCCCCTCTTCTTCATGTCTCTTCTACATCAACATGTGTCCCCTCTTCCTCATGTCTCTTCTACATCAACATGTGTCCCCTCTTCCTCATGTCTCTTCTACATCAACATGTGTCCCCTCTTCTTCATGTCTCTTCTACATCAACATGTGTCTCCTCTTCTTCATGTCTCTTCTACATCAACATGTGTCCCCTCTTCTTCATGTCTCTTCTACATCAACATGTGTCCCCTCTTCTCCATGTCTCTTCTACATCAACATGTGTCCCCTCTTCTTCATGTCTCTTCTACATCAACATGTGTCCCCTCTTCTTCATGTCTCTTCTACATCAACATGTGTCCCCTCTTCTTCATGTCTCTTCTACATCAACATGTGTCCCCTCTTCTCCATGTCTCTTTTACATCAACATGTGTCCCCTCTTCTTCATGTCTCTTCTACATCAACATGTGTCCCCTCTTCTTCATGTCTCTTCTACATCAACATGTGTCCCCTCTTCTTCATGTCTCTTCTACATCAACATGTGTCTCCTCTTCTTCATATCTCTTCTACATCAACATGTGTCCCCTCTTCTTCATGTCTCTTCTACATCAACATGTGTCCCCTCTGTGGAAAGAGACTCTGAAAGTTTCAGGAACAAAGATTCTCTCTCTTTTTGATCCATTTCTATAAAAACCTGTCTGAAAATGAGCTGATCAGATTTTGGCCACTTTATGATGTCATAACGATGTTTTGTCTTGTGTAACCATTAGCCAATCCCCCCCCCCCCCCCCCCCTTATCACCTGAATCTCCTCCTAGAGCACCATTGAGTTCTTTGTAACTAAATGTCTCTCAGAGGGGCGTGGGGAGGGGCTCCTTATTTTTCATCTAAAGTAACAGACAGAGAATCAGCACTTTTGAAGCAGGGCTGAAACAGAGGGGATTATGGGTAATGCTGCTGCAATGATCGGTTTGGTGTTTTAGCCAATCAGAGACAGGCTCTGTATATATCTGAGACCTGTGATATAGTGATGAGAAACAGTTTAATAGGGGACCTTTAACACTAGCTCTCAAAGTCTTACCTCCATAGATGGCAAAGGCCTGGTCGTAGAAGAATCTCCTCTTGAGGGTGTCCTCCATCTTGGTTCTGTCAACGATGTCATCTTTGGGTTCTAATGACAGTTCCTGCAATGAGAAGGATATTTACTCCATTCTTGACACCTCATAGTCAGCAAATTCGGTCGCAGGAAAGAAACGCATCAAGACATGATAAAATAAGTTGCTTGTCCAAAACATTGTATCCGCAACCGGGCTATGGAAGGCTGCATGAGGAGCAGAATCCATGCATCAAATCACTGTTTTAAAAACCCACAGTTCAGCACTGACAGCTGACTCTAGGAACCACAAGGCAGCATTATCATTGATTACATATACATAAGTGATAACCAAAACACGTTTAACACCAACAAGAGGACATGATACACATCTTAGGATGACAAAATCACAATTTTAAAATCAGCGAACAAGGCACAATAGCTCCTGTGAGGGAAAACTCACACGGTTATAACAGTGTGAGTTTAAGAGAGAGCTGTGTTTGATGACCAGGATACATTTGTGGATATCCGGGAATGGAAATGCAGGTTTGTAATAGTATGTTGCATATCAGTTTTGAATAGGTTTGACACCAGATGTGTTATAACCAGGTTGAATGCATCTAATAATAATATCTACCATGATGTGTCAAACACCTGCATCTCCAGCAAGCACCCAATTCCCAGTCTGCTTATCACAATAGCAGGTTAAAAATGAACAAAAAAAGTTGGCACACACTGCCCATATTTTAATTAAAGTGCATCATATATGCAGCACAGCCTGGTCATTAAGTGGAGAGCTGGCAAGTGTTTGACAGTCCTATTCCTCAGAACAGATGCAAGGCTTGGCAGATAATTGTAGACAAAGGTAATTGATACTAAATATATTGAATCACATACAGTTGAACTAGACTCACCTTGGCTTCAAAAGCCCTCTTCCTCGCCTTCAGTTCAGCCACAGCTTTAGTAACATCCACATCAGGAGCTCCATCCTGTTTCATTTGACGCACCAGTTCCCCCTAAAAACAGAGAGGGGCTTTAGACTGCTTTTTACCTCTGGTTTGGGCATGTTTAATAACATCTTTTTTTTTGTAGGAGCATGAATTTCTTCTTTAAACCCCACCCTGCTCACAGATATCTGCAGCAGCTCATTGAAACGTGGCAAAGGGTGCAGACATTACTGCCGACTAGTGTTAGCATTTAGCTAATGGCTCTTTCATTGACAGCTTCATGAGGAACCGGTGAAGTAAAACATTATCTAATAAAATCAAAAATAAGAAAAAATCAAATCAATAAATCGTTTGAATTAAAGAAAGAAAGACAAATTAAATACAAACATTTAAATATATAAAAAGGAACCGGTCCGGTTAGCCGGTTAGCTTGCATGCTAACACTCCAGCTGTCACCCTGCAGAGGTAATACAAAGTTATCTAACCCTAAGAAACCTATACCACATCAGTTTTAAGTCATTGTGGATGTCTTTGTTACCTGTTCTTTGACAGCCAGCCTCAAAGGGGCCAGAATCTCCTCCATGTTTCCGTCCATGGTTCGTCCTTCCTGCAGCCAAAGACTTCTCTTCTTGTTCCTCTTAAACAGGGACACGGAAAACGGTCTGTTGTTGTTTCCGGACCGGGTCTTTGACCACAGGGAGGAGAAGGAGGAGATCTCGGTGCTGATCCTCAGCAGTTCTGATGTTCTGCGAAGCATGGACCTCAGTAACAAGAGAGGAGATGATGAAATCTGTGGGGATATGTAAACGCAGAAACGGCCTCTGTGCAGCACTTTCGCTACTATTAGTGCAAAACGTATCGCCAGATTCGACGCACAGAAAAAAAATATATAGATATATAAAATTGTTGATGTTGCATTTACTATCACATATTTTTAGTTAATTGGTCTATTTCTAACTATGAAAATAATTAAATGCTGTTGACAGTGGTGTTAAGTAACTATGTACATTAACTCAATTACTGTACTTACAATGTTGAGGTACTTGTGCTTTACTTCCAATCCAACTTTATTTATAGCACATTTAAAAACAACAGAGTTGACCAAAGTGCTGTACATCAATACATATATAAAAAAGCAGCATAAATACATGTAGACAAAACCGATAGGACAAAAAGAAACTAATGTAAAAGCACGAGACAATAAAACCATACTTATAGCCAGACTGAAACCCCTCATACATGATGTAAACACATTTACTGTACTTGAGTATTTCCATGTTATGTTGTATTTCTACTCCACACCAAAGGTACATGGTGTACTTTTACTCCACAAGTGACTAGATTAAAGATAAACGCTATTTATAACACTTAAATCAGACTTTCGTTCCACCATGGAGTAAATTCACAAGCTACCCTGCAGTATACAAACTCATTAAAACTAGCTGCACCTTTACCAGCTTTGAGAACACTTTAATGACCAATCTGCACAATGAGTACTTTACTTTTGGTAGGCTACTTTAACTATATTTGCATGCCCATACTTTTGTACTTTTAATTGAGTAACATTTTGAATACAGAACTGCTGAGGTCTCATGTCATAATCATAATTCCATTGTTAATAATAATTCATTTATTTTATATAGGCGCCTTTCAAGGCTCTCAAGGTCGCCGTACAAACACATAAAAAACAAGATACACAATACCTAACACCAGCATAAGAAACATAAACAAGACAATGTAACAAATCAAATAAATAGAACAGAGGATGTGTGATGGATAATGATCAGCGTGGATAAGCGAGTGTGAAGAGATATGTTTTGAGGCGTGATTTGAAAATGGGGAGAGAGTCAGTGTTGCGGATGTCAGGTGGGAGGGAGTTCCAGAGGCGGGGTGCAGAGCGGCTGAAGGCTCTAGACCCCATGGTGGTTAAACGGAAGGGGGGTGCAGTGAGGCTGAGGGAAGCAGAAGATCTGAGGTATACTAAAATAAATGTATATTGTGCAATTTTCCAAACTCACATTGGTTTCTCATACAGCATCTCTGTATAGTATGTGTATTCACTCTCTGTCCTAAACGGCTTGTTGGAGCTCCTGCCCCCCTTGTGAGCCCAACGAGGCGTTCAGGGGCAGCACAGGTATGTTCTGTGTTAGAGTTTTACTCGGTACAGGGTGTACTTTGAGGGTTTGTGACTCTGCAGACCGTTTACATGCAGAACAAGCTACATTACACACAAGGGGACGGGTAATAACCGGAAAAGCATGACATGGGCCCTTTAAGTAAAAGATCTGAGTACTTCTACGAAATGAGTCATTTATTGTAATAGACTTCTACACAAACAGAGCCCTCTGCTGGTTATTATAAGTAATGCAGTGTTTGGCACTTCCTTATTGAATTCTGTTTTCCAGAGGTTGCCGTCACAATGCAGTCTTTACGCACAACCCATAAACAACCCAACTGCATTCTGACTGTGTCACCATTGTGTTATTTCGGCTAATCCCAGATGCGCAAAGTTAGGAATCAAAGATATAAATAAAGGTTCTTCCTCCATTAAAAGGTTGGACATGTCTCCAATTTGCAACTTGCTTATTCTTCACAGCAGAATGTTAAGTTTCCTCCTGGATGATGCAACACAAAGCCCTTGTTTCCACTCTCATCTGAACAGAAACAGGCGCCTCCCGTTTCCCTCTAGCTTTAAGAAGACCAAAGTGAAAGGATTTGAGTTCAGAGCAGATCCACAGCTGGCTGCAGGAGGAGAGCTTCTTACAAACGAGTCAACCATCGAATATATAAAAGTGTGAACATGGAGCAAGTACTGGCGCCTTTGAGGGAGTCTGTGAAGCAACAGGTGAGAGCAGCTGACACACCTGCACTATAACACATTCTGCAAACACTGGCATGCAGCGACTTGTGCTTTGACAGCTATTGGAGAGGTTTTGCATGTGCTTAAAAATGAGTCTAGTTTTGAATATTAAATGATAAGTTTACATGAAGAAATCACTTCAATGGTTACATTTACACAGCAGTAACAGAAACAGATGCAATGTCTATCAGAGTCAAACAGATAATACAATAATGTGTATTAAATAATGTGCACTTTATATTATTTATATAGCCCAAAATCCTAGTTGTCTCAGAGGGCTTCACAAGTCAAACACAATTGGCAATGTAAAACAATGCGAAAACAGCAAACGTATCTTATAAGATCAATGTGAAAATACCAATTTAAAAAGGAACATTACACAATGACACAAATACCGTTAGAGTACAATCAATTATTGAATGTTCTTCAGGGTCCATAAGTTATACAGAGTCTCATGGCATGAACACAAAGTGAAACTGGAATTGAAGGAGTAGCTGCTGTGGTCAAAGGGGGTATTTGGGGATGATGGCTATTTAAAGCGGATTTATCAACGATCATAAATAGATTTTAATAAACAAGCAATTACAGCTCTCTTTTTTTACCATTTTTCTTTTTACATATATGCATTTTTAATATACAAATCTACATATAGTATTCCTAAGATATAATAACCGAAAGAAAAATTACAGATAAGGTAAATGTGTGTTTTTCTAGGTTTTGTGTAAAAATGAAGTGCTTTTTATTCCTGCAGGGGGATTTGGTGCACGAGCTAAAGGCGAAAGGCGCCAACGAGCAGGAGCTGAACAAAGCTGTTGCAGAACTGAAAGCCCGGAAGAAGATTCTGGAAGCAAAAGTGAGACCTTCAAATCATCAGTCACATCCTTCAGAGGATATCGCATCAGTCTCACAGCTTCTGCGTACTCGGACACCTTTTGGTTCCACTTTCAGTTTGAGTCAAAGAATGTTTACTTAGCTGTAATCCTGGGATCTGATTGTTGTTGTTTTTTCATCATTTCCTGTAGGAGCTAGCTTTGCAGCCCAAAGATGACACGGTGGACAGAGTGAAGATGGAGGACACCTTAAAGAGGAGATTCTTCTACGATCAGGCTTTTGCCATATATGGAGGTAAAACTGAAACCACTTCATTGCATTTCAGGAAGTTATCACCACAAATATTGCATTCTACACACTAACTAACATCTTCTCCAGGTGTGAGCGGCCTGTATGACTTCGGCCCTGTCGGCTGCGCCCTGAAGAACAACATCCTGCAGGTGTGGAGGCAGCACTTCATCCAGGAGGAGCAGATCCTGGAGATCGACTGCACCATGCTCACCCCCGAGCCCGTCCTCAAGTAGGTGACAACAAACCCCAGAACATAAACAACGTCTTCTATTCGAATTGACTGAGAAATGTGCATTATTTTCTCCTCAAGAACGTCGGGGCACGTGGATAAGTTTGCAGACTACATGGTGAAGGACGCCAAGACTGGAGAGTGCTACCGCGCCGATCACCTGCTCAAAGGTGACCGGATTTAAAGGAGCTCCACCTAGTCCAGTCCTCCATAAAGCTTTCCATTGTTTCCATGCATTAATGACAAGGTGTCAGGTTTAATCCCCAAAAAGCACAATGACTTAGGTTTTCTGAACGTCCAATATAAGGACATGTTTGTACTCGTCTGACTTGGTTGTCCTGTATATCCCGAGGGCCATGGTATGTAGAGGAAAGCACGAGTGAAAGTGTCAGATCGACTGGTTTTTCATGTCTGCAAACCAAGTAGACGAAAATGTGCGGCTTTAGTATCTAATATATGTCAGACTTACTTAGACTTTTAATTACAAAGACATACAGTCCGGATAAAAAAACATTTCAGTAACTTTGAGATGTATTTCCTACATTGTTTGGCTGTACTTGTTTGTATGAAAAGCAGGCCTTTTGTCACAAAAATAATATTACTTAAGGCTTGTTTGACAAAAAATGCATATTTACTTATACAAATGCGAACATTGAATTGAATCACTGACAGCTGCTAAATGAGGATATGTGTTTCCCCACAGCTCACTTAAAACAACTGATGTCTGATGAGAAATGCTCTGCAGAGAAAGTCGCCGAGTTGGAGGACGTCATCACTCAGGTGGGTGACACACACACACACACACACATTACTCTGACACTGCTTGACATACAAGAAAACTACTTAAACTTAAGAAACATTCAGGTTATATTCAACGTTTATAATTAATTGAATGGTCCTAATGTTTTTTCGTGTGTCCAAGGCTAGTCTTATTTTTCCTCGGTGACATAGACCTCCATTTTCGTCCCAAAACACATGCACTGTTGCTTGTAAAATGAACATGGACCCCAACACTGTCCTGCAAATACTCAAAAGACACACACACACACACACACACACACACACACACACACACACACACACACACACACACACACACCATGTATACATCGCTTCAGGGGACATTACATTGACTTACATGCATTTCCTGGAGACTTATCCTAACCTTAACCATAACCAACACATGCCTAACCCTTACCCTTACCCTTACCCTAACCCTTACCCTAACCAAGTCTTCACCCTAAAATTAATGATTCCCCTTATGGGGACCTCCAATGTGTCCCCATAAGGGAAGCCAGTCCCCACACGTGACTATGTAAACAGATTTAGGTCCCCACAAGTATAGTAATGCTAGACCACACGCACACACACACACACACACACACACACACACACACACACAATGCTGTCTCTATACTGACATCTGCTGGTTGGGGAAGATATCCCTCTGAGGTTTTGCTTTCTGTTCTAGATGGATAACTACACTCAGCAGGAGCTGGCCGACCTCTTTGTGAAATACAACGTGAAGTCTCCGTCCACAGGAAATGACCTCACACCTCCGACCTCCTTCAACCTGATGTTCCAGACGTCCATCGGACCAGGAGGGAACATGACGGGGTAAAAATAAACACAATACAGCGGATCATTTGTTTTTTGGGGTAGCATTTGTGTCATTGTTGAGTGATTGATTTGACGTGACTCTGCAGCTATCTGAGGCCTGAAACTGCTCAGGGAATGTTCCTCAACTTCAAGCGTCTGCTGGAGTTCAACCAGGGAAAACTTCCCTTCGGTGCCGCTCAGATCGGAAACTCCTTCAGGAACGAGATCTCTCCTCGCTCTGGACTCATCCGTGTCAGGTAGCTAGAAGCTTCCTCATCACTCACCTGCAGATATACTGACAATACAGTGACGTTAAATCTTCCTCACAGAGAGTTCACCATGGCTGAGATCGAGCACTTTGTGGATCCAAACGAGAAGAACCACCCTAAATTCTCCAACGTTGCCGACCTGGATATTCTGCTGTTTTCTTCCAAGGCTCAGACCAGTGGTCAGTCTGCACAGATCACGAGGCTGGGGGACGCTGTGGAGCAGGTGGGACACACATAATTGACGTGTTAGACATTGTGGATATAGTTACTGATGTTCCCTGACAAATGACCATATCCATATCTCTGTGTCTGCTACAGGGGGTGATCAACAACTCAGTGTTGGGTTACTTCATTGGAAGGATCTACCTCTATCTGATCAAAGCCGGGCTGTCCAAAGACAAAGTGCGCTTCCGTCAGCACATGGAGAACGAGATGGCTCACTACGCCTGCGACTGCTGGGACGCTGAGTCCAAAACATCCTACGTAAATAATATTTTCTTGGGTGTTAACATGCATAGAGTTAAAAAACGAGTGGACACAAGTTAAATCGAGTCTGTTTGTGTCTCTCAGGGCTGGATTGAGATCGTTGGATGTGCTGATCGCGCCTGCTACGATCTGACGTGTCACTCCAAAGCCACGAAGGTCCCTCTAGTGGCCGAGAAGCCCCTGAAAGAACCCATATCCTTTCCTTCTCCCAGTAAAACAACCCTACAACCATAATATCTTTTTTTTTACTTTGAATGACTGATATCCTCAGTTACTTACTCTTGCTTTGCTCGATCGCTTGTAAGCTGGATTCCTCAGTTTAACGCCTTAACTTCTTCGCACAAAGTGGTAAACGTTGTCCAGTTTGAGCCCAATAAGGGAGCCATAGGAACTTCCTACAAGAAAGATGCGAAACTGGTTCTGGAGTTCCTGGCCGGGTGTGACGAATGTTACATCACCGACCAGGAGAAGCTCCTCACGGAAAAAGGGTAAATTCTGCCTTTAAGAACCTATATATTAATGTCCTTTTGTGTCTTTTATATTGTTAAATTGGTGGTGTTTTATGTCCGTAGAGAGTTCAGCATTGAGACACAGGGACGGACATTCAAAGTGACCAAAGACATGGTCAGTGTGAAGCGGTTCCAGAAGACTCTGCACGGTAAGAGACCCGCCTTCAGAGCTGAAGAGCAGGATAATGATTCTTGTGGGAAATCAACCGTCTGTGTTTTCCCACAGTGGAGGAGATTGTTCCCAATGTAATCGAGCCGTCCTTTGGCATCGGCAGGATCATGTACTCCATCTTCGAGCACTCGTTCCGCAAGAGGGAGGGCGACGAACAGAGGACGGTAAGAGCGCTGTAAAACAAGAAAGTACGTCTTAGTGAGAATCTCATGCTTGTTTTAATGTTTTTACTGTGAACTTTGAACTGAAAATGACTTATTGTTCTCCAGTATTTCAGCTTCCCTGCCACTGTGGCTCCGTACAAATGTTCCATCCTTCCTCTGAGCCAAAATCAGGAGTTCACGCCATTTGTCCAGCAGTTATGTGAGTGTGATGCTAACTCTCAGATTCAAAGCATTATGAAGTGTAACTTGTTTGTGTCTCCAATATAGAGCTGAATGGTATGGTTAGCGTATCTTTCCATAAAGACAGGAAGTAGGGGAACAGCTAGCCTACCTACCCACCATCAACTTTAAAGCTCACTTATTACAATGTTATGTAGAGTTGGGATCGTTTTTTCAGACAGTAACTTTATATCAAATCCTAAACTAACCTAACTAGCAGGCTATAGCTTAGTATTTAACAATTGTTTGGTTTGATTGAGTGGTGTCAATTTTCTCATCCAACCCAAATGTTACCGTTTCAACATTTTCGGCTTGATCGTCCCCTCAAACTGATTGTTAATTTCTGCTTCTTCTCTCTCCTTTAAGCCGACGCGATGACTAAAAACAACGTGTCCTACAAAGTGGACGACTCTTCAGGATCCATCGGGAGACGCTACGCCCGCTCAGACGAGATCGGGGTGGCGTTCGGCATCACCATCGACTTCGACACGGTGAACAAGACGCCTCAAACCGCCACGCTGAGAGACCGAGACTCCATGAGGCAGATCAGGGCCGAGGTACTGCAACAATAACCACAGCTGTGTTTAGTATCACATTCAGCTGTTGTTTTTGTTTTGTTTCTAATATACACAACCCTATTACAGGTCGCTGAGTTGCCAGCGATGGTTCGAGATCTGTCTAACGGCACCTTGAATTGGGTCGAGGTGGAGAAAAAGTTCCCCATCTTTGAAGGACAAGAGACCAGCAGCAAGAAGGAGTAGCCAGACTGGGACTCAACAGAAGATTTCACATATTACCAAAGCTTATGCATTTTATATTTTATACCTAGGAATGTGTTTTCTCTTTGGGAGTTGCAGTTATAGCTCTGCTCAGACATACAGTATATACTCCCAAATGATGAGCAGCACTGATACCTTGAAAGTAAGAAACAGCCAGGTGGAGTTAAGTTTCTTTAAAAGCTTTTGTATACGTTTAATAAACTATATACTGTACTTCATGTCTCTTTTCTTTATTTGAGTTGCTTTGTGTGCATCTCACTGCATTGTAAGTTGTGTTGCTGCCACTAGACGCCACTGAGAGTTGTGTTACAGTCCATTGTAGAACATGAGAGAGGCATGGATGGACGTTTGGCTTCGGCTCAAAATTGCAGCAGGCTTAGACCTCCCAAAACAGACCTGGAACCCAGGAGGTGGAAAATAGCGGCGAGAGAAAAGAGACAAGGGGACTTTTAGTTTGAAATTGTCAAAGGATGCACACTTCCTCATTGCTACAACAACATATTCATGCTAATTGATGCTCTTTTGTGATATAATATGATGCTAATTGGGATTTTTCACACACTATTCTGCAGAGCTATCGTGCAGAAAGTGGATTTACTCTTTGGTGCATCCTTTACAGAAGTACTTTAAAGTATTAGAGGAAGGTAAAACATGTCAAGAATCCCTAATAGACTGTGTGTCTTCAGTGTGTTGTTCCGCCCCCTCTGTGTCAGTGGTCAAAGTATAAATACATCACGTCACCTTTACCCAGTGGCAGCTCCCTCTCAGGGAGTCAGAGGGGCAGACAAAGCCTGAGCAGATGCAAAAAGTTTCCTTAGATGCTTTTGTTTTTGTAATTTGATATTTTAATCTGGATTTTTTTCCTAAATAATCGGAAACAAGTGGGGGTTTTATTGCACCTCCTCTTTCGGGACTGCAACTGCTGCGTTCAAGGTCAGTGTGACAACAGGTGCTGCGGAGGACGAACTGAGAGCGTGACCGAGTGGCATTTCAGCTGCATTGTGAAGAGAAAACAGGAACAGAGATTTACAAATATAAATACATATGTGCTGTTATATGAAGCCATTAGAGACAATGTTGAATTAGCATTAGAAAAGCAAAAAGCAATGCTTTGATGCAGGAGAAGTTACAGTATGAATAAGTTGATTGGAAAGGAGTTGTTTGGTTAAAAATAGCCAGCAGCTGTACTTTGTTGGGGTCTCAGTTCTTATCTTCTGAAAGTTGCACATTTGCCCACCACTGTTGACTGAAGTGAAATTATTGTGATTATCAGCGGTACTCGTTCTTTATACTGCAACATTTCACAGTGAATTACGGTACTTTTTATTACATTTCACCATCTATTTTGCAGCTACAGTTACTTTGACCTCACAAATGTTTATATGCATTGTCAGACAGAAGTAAGAGTAGCAATAACAAATCGTAGAAATGCTCTGTTACAAGTTAAAGTCCTGCAATCAAAATCTGACTTGAGCAAATGAAAGAAAGTGTTTGCATAAAAAAAAACTTTAAGAACAAAAAGTAAAAGTACTTGTGTATAATACTCCATCTCAGAATCATATACAGTATACATCTTAATATTAAACCTATAATTGTCAATGTTTATTTACAGTAATTTAGTTTTAGCTATTAATATGAATCTGTAAAGTAAATCAAGCTGTTTATTTACTCGTAGCGTAAAATGAAAACACTTAGGTAAAGTTCCAGTACCTCAAAATTATACTTAAAAAGAGTACTTTAGTAAATGTACTTGTAACCACTGCAAGGAAGTATCAAACTGTATATAAAGCAGAATACAAGTTGACCTTTCGCTTACATGTTAAAGCATCAATACAATTATATAATAACACAACAGTGACTTGGGCCATTCAACGTACTGTTACAGTACTTTTACTTTGCATTCATACTTTGTTGCTAATTATCATGTACTTTTACTTCAGTGAATGGAGGACTTTTACTTTTTAAAGGGGCATTGTGACTTTTATTCAGCAAAGGATCTGAATATTTCCCCATCGTTGGTAAATAGTTAGCATTTCAAAGTAGAAATTGTTACAGTAAAAATGCTGGTGCAGCACTTATGATAGAAAAGGATTTAAAAGTAATTTGTTATTTTTTGAATTGTAAGAACATTCACGCTAAATCCAGAATGATTGACAAGCAGCGGATATCTTTTTAGTTACAGATGCAAAAGAGAAAGTTGCATTGTTGCTCTTTTCTTTTCTAGTTTAAGCCCCAGCTGTTTACAAAGGATGTGTGCTGTAAAACCTGGTCTTTATTGACGGGTCTCCTTTTGGTGCAGGAGCTTCCAGAGCTCTTGCTGTCCGTGGAGCAATGGGGATCAAATCAGCTCTTCCTAAATATGAGATCTACTTCTACAACACGGTGCTCTGCCTGGCCACGCTGTGGGCCGGCAGCTGGGTCCTGGATGTGTCCAGCTGTGAGTATGAGTAAACACACACACACACACACACACACACACACACACACACACACACACACACACACACACACACACACACACACACACACACACACACACACACACACACACACACACACACACACACAGCTGATTAGACCCCTGCTGCGCAAAAGCTATAGTATGTCACCAGAAACCATGTACTTATAAACATGGAGTTTATGTACTAAAGGCTAAATCTGTACATATCTATATCTTAATAGGTGCAACCAAACTTGCAGTGAGATGGCATGCTTTATCGATTAGTTTAGAAATGAGAAAATGCAATTATTTGGATATTTTCTATAATTAGTGCCCTGAAAAATGAACACAATACAAAGCAGAGATTTTTACTTTTGTAGGAGGTTATTACTGACATTAATGATGGCTCTGTTTTATTCAAGTGTTCCAGTAAGCCAGCATGCACAATACAAGAACCCCAGAGTGAACGGAGTTTATCCACACCTGTGAATTTTGCTGCTGCGACTAAAGTCTTCTGGCCTATAGCACAAAAGGATTAGCACCACAATGCAATGTGCTGCATTTTTAGATGTGAAAATGATGGATTAAAGAGGCCCTTTTATGCTATTGGAGGTTTATCCTCTCCTGTAGTGTGTTATATAAGTGTGTGTGCATGTAAAGGCTCTTCAAAGGCTCACAGTAGAGGCACTAGATACTAATATGAACCTGAAAATGAGCAGAATAAGGCCCCTTTAAGAAATCTTTGCCTCATTGAACCCCAAAATCTAGTCTAAACTGTGAACCTGATGGCATGAGTTCAAACCTAAGCATTGTGTGGTGCAGCTACATACCGACAACACAATGTGCAGTGTGCATACAGTAGAGAGGCAGCATCACTGTGGGGGGGGCGGAGCTGGAGCTATGCAGACCCTGCAGAGGAGATCAGGTTTCAGTGTGAATACCACAAGAAGAAAATAGATCCTGTGTTAGTCCTGTGTTTATTAGGAGCGTCACTGTCATGGAACACAAGTTGCACATCTGCATTCAAAGGACAAGGAAGCTTTAAATATATCTCTGTATTTATTTACAATCACAATACATGTTTTCTTACCTCTTCTTTGTCAGCCGGTGCAAACAGAAAGGCGTTCAAACCCAGCGTGAAGCCAGGATGGTACTACTTTGGGAGGAAAAGGGTGAGAAAACAGTCATATTTGATGCAGATATAAGTCATCGATGTAAGAATGTTTCTAATGTATGTCTTCATGGATCTGCAGGACTCAGCTGATTTGGAGTGGGTGATGTGGTTCTCCACATTCAGAGAGCACATCCTGTTTGCTCTCGCCGGTCATGTGCTCTTCGCTAAGATCTGCTCCATGTTGGCTCCAAAGGTGACAAAATAATCCACTGATTGAGTTGCAAAAAATGGAAATATTCAATTAAATCAGGGGTGTCCAAACTACGGCCCGCGGCCCATTTTGATACGGCCCTGAGCTAATTCAAATAGTATAATGAAATATGGCCCACAAATCAAACTTGTGCTCGTCATATATTGTACTAATTAAATATATATATGTATAAATCATAGACTGTATATATAAAGGTATACATATATATCACAGTATTCATGTGTGCCCACTTTTCAAATACATTCAATCAATTAAAGTTGGAAACATTTTCAAACTAATCTTAGTTGTTATTAAAAGCCCAATCACTTATTTGCATTATTTTTCTGTATGTGGCCCTCTGTGAAAAAGGTTTGGACCCCCCTGAGTTAAATGCAAGTGTATCGAATGTTCCCTTCAGGTCAGTACTTGAGTGATTGTAATAACATACATGTCCTGGTGGCGGCGCTCCATGTGACCCACAGCACAGGTCCCTGGTGTACATGGTGTACGGGATGCTGGCCGTGTGGACCAGTCTGGGCTGGACCTACGTCACCCTGATCCTGTCACACTGCATCCTGCTCTACAGCGTGTCCTTGGTGAAGATCCGCTGGCTGTGCTTCGTCACCGGCCTCTGCACGCTCGCCACCTTCAAGTGTGAACCCTTCGTGTCCTGGCAGGTAAACAGCTGCCAATACACAGGAAACTAACTGTTATCCAAACAGACATTATGCATTATTCATGCACATCATGTGTACAACATATTGTTATTTTTCAATACTAAGAGCCATGTTCATTCAAGATTCAATGTACGTACAATCGTTTCTGAGTTACATGACAAAAAGGATGAAATTAATAGGATTTTTTTTTCCATTTATGACAAAAAGTTGCAAACTCCACCCCCTCCACGTTCCCCAATGAATAGACAAACATACGACAGAAAGATAAATAAATAAATGGTCATAAAAATTAAATATATGTAAATACAAGTACAAATAAAATAAGGAATAGACCAAAATAAATACATACAACAAAATAATGATGACAATAGACGGTATACAAGTACATACTCAGATTAATAGGATTTGTTCATGCCTTGGCGCTGTTTCTACCCCATGCAGGCAGGCTTTGTGGACGGGGACTTTGATCTGCGCCACATCTTCTTCTACGGAGGATGTGGGTTCACCATCATGCGCTGTATGAGCTTTGCTCTGGAGAACTGCGAGAGGAAAGATGGGAACTACAGCATCCTGGAGCTGCTCAAGTACAACTTCTACCTCCCCTTCTTCTACTTCGGGCCCATCATGACCTTTGACAAGTTTTATGTTCAAGTAAGTAGGTTTTTAGGCACTTGAGGCCAAAATTAGGCTCTAAAAAAACTATTTTCTGTGCATAGAATCACAACGTTTATTGCTAT